AAAAAAAAAAAAAAAAAAAAAAAAAAAAAAATAAATATAAGTAAATAATAAATAAATAAATATATTTGTATTAACAGTTATATTTATATTTGTATATTTATTTATTTACTAATCTATATTTATTTATTTATATTTATTTATATTTATTTATATTTATTTATATATAAATAAAAAATAAATAAAAAGACATACCTTAGTATAAATTAATTTGTGTATTTCTTGTTCTTTTTCTTCTTCTTTTTCTTTTTTTATTTTATTTATTTCTTTTTCTTTTTCTTCTTTTATTATATTTATTTCTTTTTCTTTTTTTTCTTTATAATTATTTAATTCATTAAATAAATTATTTATTATTTTTTTTTGTTTATTTATTAATGCATGCATTTCCTCTAGAGAAAGCCCCAAATATTCTTCCTTCTCTGCTGCTGCTAATGATGCAACAACACTCTCCTTGCTGCATGCAGCAGCAGCAGCTGCTGCTGCTGCACCTGCTGCTGCACCGGCTGCTGCACCTTCTGCTGCTGCGTCATTTGCTGCTGCATTATCTGCTGCTGCATGCAACACATGCAACGCATGCAGCAGCAAATAAACGCATGCACACAAAAAGCCCCAAGAAATAACGCACCTTGCTGCTGCAGCTTGAACGACGCATGCAACAGCAACAGCAGCAGCAACAGCAACCAATGCAGTACATGAAACAGCAAATGCAGCAGCAGCAGCAAACACAGCAGCAACAGCAAGTGCAGCAGCAGCAGCAGCAGCAACAGCAGCCTGTGACAGCAGACGTCCTTAGCCTTACACTTAGGGCTTGAAGCAGCAGCTAAAGAAGCTGCCGCTGCTGCTGCTGCTGCTGCTGCTGCCGCTGCTACCGGTGCTGCTGCTGCCGCTGCCGGTGCTTCTGCTGCCGCTGTCGGTGCTGCTGCTGCCGGTGCTGCTGCTGCTGCTGCTCTCGAAGCAGTTTCTTGCTTATCCCTTGCCTGCTGTTGTTGCTGTTGCTGTTGCTGCTGCTTCTCTTGCTGCTGCACTTGCTCCTGCTGCTGCATCTTCTGATCCTTCTGTCGCTGCTGCAGCAGCAGCAACTGCTGCTGCTGCTCCACCTGCTGCACCTTTTGTTTCTCCCGTTGTTTCTGCTGCTCACCTCTCTGCTGCTGTTGTTGCTGATGCTGCTGCTGCTGCTGCTGCTGCTGCTGCTGCTCTTGCTCCTGTAGTCGCTGCTGTTGTTGCTCTTGCTGCTGCATTGTCTGCTGCTGCTGCTGCTGTTGCTGCTGCTTCTCTTCGTATTCATGGAGGGCTCTACGTAATGCTTGTCCCTTTGTCTCTACAGCAGCCTTACTTTCTGTTGCTGCTGCTGCTGCTGCTGCTGCTGCAGTATTTGCTGCTGCTGCTGCAGTATCTGCTGCTGCTGCTGCAGTATCTGCTGTTGCTGCTGTTGGTGATGGTTCTATACGAGCTGATGTTGCTGCAGTATCTGCTGCTGCTGCAGCAGCTGAGGGTGCAGCAGCAGTTGCTGCTGCTTTACGTCCACTTACTGCTGCTTCTGGTCTTGCTGCTGCTGCATTTGCTGCTGCAGCTTTTGCTGCTGCAGCATTTGCTGCTGCTGCAGCTACTGCTGCTTTATCTACGCTTACCGCTGCTCTCTCTAATGCTGGTGCTGCTTTTGCTGCTGCTGCTTTTGCTGCTGCTGCTGCTGCACTCTCTTGTGTGTGCTTCCTTACGTCTGCTGCTCTGTTAGTGATTGTGTCTTGCTGCGGCACTGTGTCGAATGCTGCAGCAGCAGCAACTGCAGCAGCAGCAGCAGCAGCTGCTGCTGCTAGTAACTTGAAAGTGCGTCTCTTGCCGCTAACCCTTGGAGGTCTCTTTGCTGCTGCTGCTGCACCTGCTGCTGCACCAGCTGCTGCTGCTGCTGCTGCGTCTGCTGCAGGGGGCCCTGATGATGTTGCATGCGCAGCTTGAGTAGTTGACTTCTGCTGCATCTGCTGCTGCTTGCTGTCTGCTGCACCATTTCTTGTTGCTGCAGTGTCTGCAGCAGCAGCAGCAGGAGCTGCTGATTGCTGCCTAGTATATCTTATATCGTTAGATAGTAATCTTTGCCCTCTTCCTGTAGGGGTACCCAAATGCATGCAAAGGGAGCCCCCAGGGGAGCTCACTGATAGAAGAGACCCTTCTGGGGGCCCCCCAAGAGGGACCAGGGGGGCCCCCTGGGGGCCCCTGGAGGCACCTGGTAGGAGGCGCCTGGGGGCCCCCTGGAGGCCCCTGGGGCCCCCCCTGTTAATAGGGTTTAAGGGGAAGCAGCGATAGAAAGGAGGAGGTAAGAAAGGGGATTGAGGGGAAGAAAGACGCAGCAAACAAAGATGTTTAGCTGCTGCTGCAGGGGGGGGCCCCCAACAGGTCATAGTTGTTAAGAAAAGAAGACAGGGGGGCCCCCTAGAGGCACCAGTATATATCTATATATCTATATAGATATATAGGGAAGAGAGCTGAGGTGTACAGGCAGCTAAAGAGGGGGAAAGGAAGAAGACACAAAAAGAAAAAAGCTGTTCATGCTGCTGCTTCTTTTGCCATACAGCAGCAGCAACTGCTGCTGCTGTTGCAGCAGCAGCAGCAGTAGCAGAAAGCCCCAGCCAGCAGCAGCGAGCTGCTGCTGCTGCTGCATATCGAGGGTATTTTTCGTCCTTTTCCACCACTTATTTACTTATTTTTATTTATTTTAGTTATATTTTGCTTAAAAAATAAAATATTAAATAAATTTATCCATTAAATACCTCTTCTACCCCCCTGTGTGTGTATGTGTGTGTGGTTGACGTCTACTAGCTGCCTATACACCGCAATGGTATGCTATAAGAAAAGAGGTATCGATTTAAAGAGAAAGTAATCATTAATAACAATAAATAAGAAATAAATAAAAAATAAATTAATTTATTATTTTATTTTAATTAAAATTTCCTTTTAATCGCATGCACGTAACCATAGAAGTGTTTGCATATAAGAAATCTATATAATCAATAATAATTATGTATAATTATATTTGCGGTGTATGCGCATACACCCTATAAATTATTTTGTTTAATTTATTGTTATATAATTAACACCTTTATGTTCTCTAATGTTATAACTCAACATATAAACCCTAATAAATCCTAATAAATCCTAAACCCTAAACCCTAAACCCTCGCCTAGGGGAGATCAACGAAAAAGAAACGAAACCCTAGGGTTTAGGGTTTATAACTTGGCTGCATTGCTGCTGCAGGCAGAGGTTGAAGCTGCTGCGACAATCAAACCCTAAAAGGCAGCAGACGTAAACCTTAAACCCTAAACCCTAAACCCTAATAGGCGCTAGGCGGAAACAATAATAGACGGCATGCGTAAACCCTAGCGTTAGACTAAGTTGACAATATAGTGTTTAATAAAGAAAAAAGAGAATAAATTATATAAGAATGCAATAAGGAAGAGAAACACAAAAAAAGAAAAACCCTAAACCCTAAACCCTCGTGGGTTTATAGGATACAGTATACACCTGGAGGTGCGTATACACCCCAAACCATCAAAATGATGATTTATTTATTTTTATTTATTTATTTATTTATTTATTTTTCTACATTTAATACTTCTATATCTAGAGGAGGAGAAGGTTCTTTTTCTTGATATTTTATTGATAAAGAATTGACACAATGACGCTCATTTGTCTCCGTAAACCTATAAACACACAAACCCTAAACCCTAATAATAATTCATAAACCCTAAACCCTAATAATCTATAAACCCTAAATAATAAAATAAATAAACCCTAAACACCAATCCATAAACCGCGTGAAGAATACAGGCGGTGGGTTTCTATCCCTAGCTACTTGTCAGACAACTAGGGTTTAGGGTTTAGGGTTTAGGGTTTAGGGTTTAACCTTTCTCCATTAAATACATGACCTAAATGACCTCCGCATGTACTGCAAATAATCTCCCAACGTCTCATCCCTCCACTTAAATCCAACACAGCCTTCACTTTACCTACAAACACCAAACCCTAAACCCTAAACCCTAAACCCTAGAGGACTATGGAGGTGAGGAAGGGTAGGCCTGCTTGTAGATGTTTGTAGTCTGCTGATGCGTTTTTTCTTGGAGGAATAAAGCTCCAACAAAGGAACAAGCTAGGGTTTAGGGTTTAGGGTTTAGGGTTATTTATTAGGGTTTAGTTATATATATATACCTTTATAAACCCTATCAAAGGCTGGCCAACCACAACCTGATTTAAATTTACTACTGGAGGGAAAAAGAGGAGAAAAACAGCCCCGGCAAACAAAACAACCAGAGGAAGGATAGAAGGAATTATATTCTCCTGCATGCAAACACTAAACAATAAACCCTAAACCCTAAATTCTCCAAGACAGGACGGACAGATACATATAAGATACCGTACAGGTGTATACTGTACTGATGGGGGTTTAGGGTTTAGGGTTTAGGGTTTACCAGTTCCTGGGGGCTCTGTCCCCTTCTGTCTAAGGACTCGATACTCTTCAGCTGTAGCGCATACACCGCAGCAAACAGAACAAATTAACTAATTATTATTATATACTTGTTATTTATTTATTATGCATGCAGTCTTTCCTTGCATGCACACATGCTTGCATGCATGAATGCATGCAGCCGTTTATCTATTGAGCAAAACCTTAAGAGAGAGAGGGGAATAAAAGGAATATTATTTAGTGTTGTTGTGTACGCTTTAGGGTCTTCCTCCATTCTTCGTCTGTTTTCTGCACAAAAGATGAATTATTCATTGTTGCTGCTGTCGATACACCTGAGAAAGGGGAACAAGAAAAGGGGAAAAAAAATAAATGAAGGCGGAAAGGAGGAAATCTTGCCAAGGTGTGCTGCGGCTGAAGGGATAAAGAGGGCAAAAAGCAAGAAAAAAGATGAATTAAATAATAAAAAAGAATATGATTAATATTTATTATTTGCATATGATGCAATAAATACAAAACAACCATCGAGTTACCCTTATGGTGGTATTTTCTTGTTACTTACGGCGGGTGGTTGGCTCCGTAGGAGGGTAAGAGAATGCACTAAATGGTGGACTCAGAAGAGAATCTGAGGAATTTTTATAAGGAAAAATAAACGGAAAAACACGAAAAGTAAAGAGAAGAGGAAAAGATGAACGAAACAAGCGCATCGCTCCCTTTTTATACACAGAGGCGGGAGAGAGGGTCGTGCAGCAGTAACAGCATGCAGGAATCGTTGCCTTATACACAAACGATAATACTCTACAGGAGTAAAAATTTATATGTGAAACAACAGGAAAAAACATGAAAATACACAAAATTATTCATTAGGAGAAGAATAGAAGAAGAATGATGTAGTATAAGAAGAGTAGCGATTTGTATGTAAAGAAAAGGACGGGGCTCTCCTTACAAGAAGCTACTGTGTGATTTTCCTTCCTCCTGCACACCTGTCTTCAAAAGAAATATATTTTTATTTATTTTACTTGTTTTTAATTCATAATTTAGTTGATTGATCATCTTGGAGGGCATTTACACTAGAAGATCTTGCCTACCTCCTTTTATCCCCCTGGCGGCGTTTATAGTTATATAAATAACGACGGATCGTTTGACGATGAGTAGAGGTCTTGGTAAGTATTTGTTTGTTAATTAAGCTCCTTCTGCCTCCTGTATCCACCTGCAAGTGTTGCATATGTGTATGTTGAATACCTGTTGAGTTCCTCATGAACGGGGGAAGACGTAAAAAAGCTTAAGACTAAGATTCTCCTGTTGTTATTTGTGGTGTTCAAGTTTCTGCAGCTGGATTAAGCTACGACTGCATCGTCGTTGGTGGAGGAAGCGGAGGAATTGCCTTCGCAAGAAGAGCGGCGGGTTATGGCGCAAAAGTTGCATTGGTAGAGCCCAAGCCAATGGGCGGCACATGCGTCAATCTAGGTTGTGTGCCTAAGAAGGTGAATGCGCGGAAACGAACGAAAAATTCACGAAATTCAACCGATCTTTTGATTCATTAGCATTAATTTACTTTTTTTATTCATTTTAGTTTATAAAATAATCAAATAGCCTGAGGTTTCCGTGAAGATCGCTTTTTCATGCATTTTTTCGGGTGTATGTGCAGGTCATGTGGTACGCCGCCAATGCCTTCGAAAGCTTGCATGGTTTAAAACATTTAGGCATTGATTTTAGTGAATCTCCTACTTTTAATTGGCGACGTCTTGTGGAAAATCGGGAGAAGTACATTAAAAGACTAAATGGTATTTATGTACAAAATCTTGAACAGTCGGATGTTAAGCTGTATTTCGGTTGGGCAACCCTCGATGTTAAAGATGAATCTACTGACGAACACACCGTCCTTGTTAATACAACAGAAGGAAATGAGGATAAATCCTCATCACCGCAAAGAATAAAGGCTAAACACGTTATTCTTGCTACTGGTGCGTGCGTCGGCTGCGGTTATATAAAGAAGAACAGAACTACTACTATAAAGGGGGCCATGAAGAAATGCCTTTTCGTTCTGTTTTCACTTGTTTTTCTTTCCTTTTATCGCGATTTAACACTATCCATATTCATTTCTAGTTTGTTTATTACTTGCACGACTTTCTTGCTCATCCCTCTCCTTTTCCTTTTTCTCTTCCTTTCTGAATTGTCTGTGTTGTTGGCCGTATCTGTATGTCTTCATAGGCAGCGAGCCGACTCCCCTCAACGTGCCTGGGGAAGAGCTTTGTATAACAAGCAACGGTTTCTTCGGTTTACAGGATCAGCCGAAGCGCGCTGCCGTCATAGGAGCAGGGTATATAGCTGTAGAACTGTGCGGTGTCTTACAGGCCTTAGGAACAGAAACCCATCTATTTATTCGTCATAATCGCACACTACGCAAGTTTGATACCATGATTCAAGAAGAAAACCACAAAAACATGCAAAAGCTAGGTATACAGGTACGTATGAGGTAATTGCCATGCATGCATACATGAATTTATGCATGCATGGATGTTAGTAGGGTTTAGGGTTTACATAGTTAGGTATTGTATCTGGTGTGTATATGCATGCACCGTTTATGACCAATATTTTTTTGTATATTGTTATTATTGTGTAGATATTCCCTCAAAGTCATGTAAAAGAAGTAAAAAAGAAGGAAGAAATGCTGTATTTATATTTACAAGATGGTAATAGTTATGGTCCTTTTGATTGTATAATAAATGCAACTGGACGTACACCCCAATTATCTTCCTTAAGATTAGAAGGATTAGGTATACAAATAAATAATAAATATATTTCTGTAGATGAATACCAAAATACAAACATAAAAGGAATTTATGCTGTTGGTGATTGTTGCGGGAAGGTAAGTAAGACATATAATATATATATACATATATAATTATCCTTCCCTTCTTTCTCCCTTATACAACAATACAGTACCAATACATACATGAATGCATGCAATACATACATGCATGCATGCAATTGCATGCATGTAAATACTGCATGAAGTGTAGAAGGATTGCATTGGGTTGGTTGTATATTTTTGTCATTGTATAAATATTAGGGTTTAGGGTTTAGGGTTTAGGGTTTAGGGTTTATGCAGGTAGAATTAACCCCAATGGCGATAGCAGCAGGTCGTCGTTTAGCGGATCGTTTATATGGAGAGAAGATGCATGCAAGAGCAGATTATAACTTTGTTCCTTCTGTTATTTTCTCTCATCCTCCTATCGCTACTGTTGGACTTACAGAAGAACAAGCAGTTAATCAATATGGCAAAGAGGACATTAATGTATTATTATATATAAACCCTAATTAATAATAATTAACCCTAAACCCTAAACCCTAATTAACCCTTTTAACCCTGACGTCTGCTCTATCGATGACGCAGTCGCTGATTCTGTTGTTGCTGTTGTTGCTGCAGCACTTGCTGTTGCTGCTGCAGCAGTTGCATGCCTATCTGCTACTTCTTGCATATATTCCTGCTTTGCTACTTTGCTACTTTGCTGCTGCTGCTACTGCTGCTGCTGCTGCTGCTGCTGCTGCTGGTAGATATACGAAGGGACTTGCGTGAATTTATTATATGGTCCTTATGATATTCCTCGTGAAGAAAAACCAAAAACAACAATTAAATTAATTTGCAGAAAAGTAAGACAAATATATACATATCTACGGTGTATATGCAGCTATTTTATTTATTTATTTATTTATTATATAATCATATTTATTATATTATTTTGTATATTTATTTATTTAATCTATTTATTTATTTATTTATTTATTTGTGCATGCAGTCCTTAAAGGATAAGATATTGGGTTTACATATGGTGGGGTTGGGTGTAGATGAAGTTCTCCAAGGATTCGCAGTCGCTATTAAGATGGTAATCTTTACTAAATAAATAAATAAATAAATAAATAAATTAATTAATTAAATTAAATAAGTAAATAAATAAATAAATTGATAGTATTTGCTTGTTTTTATTTGTTTACTTTCTTTATTTGTTAATATTTCTGTCGTCCCCTTATTTCTCAATTTGGGCAGATACCCTCTACTCTGCTGCTGCTGCTGCTGCTGCTGCCTATTTGTATTTGCTGCTGCTGCTGCTGCTGCTTATTCTTGTTTGCTGCTGCAGGGAGCAACAAAAGCAGATTTAGATCGTTGTGTGGCTATACACCCCACAGCAGCAGAAGAAGTTGTCACTCTCCGTCCTTGGGGAATGAGCGAGCTCTAAACCCAAACCCTAAACCCTAATAATGCTATAAACCCTAGGTCCGCTACACCCTCTATATATAGAACCCTAGACTCGCCTTCCAAACCCTTTTTTTCTTCTTATTCCCTCTTAACTACTAACCCTAAGAAAACTGGGTCCCTAAACCCTAAACCCTAGTCTCCTTTTTATTCCTTCGTAACTATTAATCCTAAGAAAAATGACTCCTTAAACCCTAAACCCTAAACCCTCGAAACGCCACGCAATACGTGCGTGCTAAACCCTACTGGTGAATAAACCCTAAACCCTTCAATTAAACCCTAAACCCTTATATAGTAAATAAACCCTAAACCCTTAAAAGAGGAGGTTTAGAGGACCGCCCAAGGAAGCCTCCGCTTGCGACGTCAGTAAGGAAAAGAAAAAAGAAAACAAAAAAGAAAAAAAAAAAAAAGAAAATTAAATAAACATAAAATATAAAATATAAAGATGAACATACACTACAATTACTGACGCTTCTATACACTCCAATATGCATGCATGCATGCATGCATGCATGCATGCACGCATGCATGTTGGTGTGCTACTGGCGGTTCTGCGCATGCAGAGACTCTAAATAATAAATAAATGTTAATAAATAATTATATATTTAAATATATAAATATATTTATACATTTATATAAATATATATATAAATAAATATAAATAAATATATGTTAATTTATATATAAATATATATATAAATATATTTATATGCAGACATATATACAGATAAATATACAAGCGTACTAACATATACACACAGGGTGTATGTATGTACACTGCGGATATGCACTAAAAATGCATGCATGCATGCGCATGCATGCGTGCGCATGCATGCATGCATGTATTTAGTGCATGCATGCGTATGCATGCGTATATATGCATACATGCATGCATACACCCACAACACCTATGCATGCATGCATGCATGCACAAGTGTATGTATTGGGTGTATAATTATAAGTGCTAATGATTAGTAAATAGAAATTAGTATTTATTTATTTATTTATTTATTTATTTATTTATATTTATTTATTTATTTATTTATATATTTATACCTAATTAAACAAATAAGAAGAAATAAAAGAAAGGCAAAACATTGCAAATAAATGTTGCAGATAAATATACTGCATTTATACAATAATAATAAATAATAATAAATAATAATTAATATTATTATTATTACTAATTATATTAATTATTTATTATTTATTATTAACCTCCTTGCGGTGTATACGCAGCTACTGGCTGCATATACATACAAGAGGTGTATTATACAAATGGGGTGTACGTACACTTAAATAAATAAATAAATAAATAAATAAATAAATATACACAAAAGAAGAATAAATAAATAATAGACATTTATATACAACAATAATAATATAATTAATAGTAATAATAATATAAATAAGATATATATTATTATTATTATTATTAATTATATTATTTATACTATAAGAAAGAATCAGGTGTACATACACCTCAATTACAAGAACAAAGAAAGGAATAAATAAAAGAAGACAAAAGAAAGAAAATAAACACATCGCTATTATTTAATTAATTATTTAATTAATTATTTAATTAATTAATTAAATTAATTATTTAATTAATAATACTAATACAATAACAATATAACAACATAATACTAATAACAATAATAATACAAATACTATATATAATATATATA